AGCTTTAGGCCCCCAAATGCTCTTTGATTGTCCAGGATTATAATAACCTATGGCAGTTATGACTGAAACTGCACAGATTTAACCTAAAATCACTAAACGCAGTCTAAAATAAAAGGCCTCATACTGAAGGGACTGCAGAGGACATAAATAATAGCTGCTGAAGGCGCTGTTATATTGAATTGCAGTTTCTCACTGATGCCAATCAGGCTTATTTTCTTAATGTGATCGGTCCACAGCCTCATGCACTGCAGTTACAGCGACACTTGACTGCCTAGTCAAGATCGGCTCATATTTATCCTAAAACATGGACATCTGGATTCATTATCGATGCTGTGTTGGTACCGCTGCATGTGGAAAGGGTGGGTTTGGCGCACGGGGAGTCGTCTGTGAAAACCCCGACACACGCGCACGCACACACATCTCAAATCCCTTTTAACGAATACTTAACCTGAACTTCATATATTAATGCCCAAATGAACGAGGAGTTATTTGGTGGTCCTCAGAACATCGCCTCAACATGCTTCAGGTGTGCGCTACCCGCAGTAGCGACACTGCGATGCTGAGCCAATGCAGCGGCAACACACGCCCCTTCGCTCCGCTCCGCGTTGCCTGTGCCTGTGAGCACACACACCGACTTCAACCACACTACCCCCCTCACCCCCCACCCCCCGTCGACGGACACACACACACACACACATCCGAGCCTGGACCAAATGAATGAGCAGTAAACACATCCTGTGCTGTGAAAATGTATCTCGATGCTACTGGATGGTCGAATGCGCAAATGCAACCGTGTGACACATTTCAATGGGGGGGATGAGAGCGCGGCCGCGTCTACAGCGGGCGTGCGTGCAGCTGGGTAAAAATAATTTAGAGGTGGGCGCCCTTCGAAGCATGAAGACACATATGTAGAACATGAATGAACACAATCCCAGGTATAAATCATAAGGTGATTTCTTTTTGAGAGGAGGTTACATACACTTGTTCTGGTCTACTTACGCACTGCCTCCTTTTTGGGGTCTAGGGCACTGGCAGTCTGCTGTATCTGGCCTATTTTGTTCTGGAGGACCCAGACCCGCTGGTTGGTGGTAATGATGTCGTTTTCCAACTCCTGAAATAAGGAGCAGGCGTGTCGGGCCAGGTCGGACAGCTGTCGCAGGGTCCGGGACAGAATCACGTTACTGATGGCACACAGGTCCTCGAAAAGCAGACCTTCATCGTTGGGGATCTGGTGCCTGCACAGAAGCTGCGGCTCCACAATCCTTTTGGCGAATGGCATTTTGCACGCCAGAAATAACAGGAGTTGTAAACCAAGTGTAAATTCCCACTGCCTAGAAGAAAAGGGGAAAAGGGGGAGACAGACAACATCCAAATATATAAATCCACGAGAAACCCGATGGGGTTCAGGCCGGACCGCGCTTTATCCCCGGGCGTCAATCCAAACTTTCCAGATTCTCCTTGAGATCCTCCATCCTGCTGCTGTTTTGTGTGGATCACTCACACTCCCGCTCACACACGCACACACATACAGGACACAGCTAAGCCCAGGTCAGTGGTGTGAGGATGCGTGTTGATTCTGCGATCATGGGTTGCCTCCGTGAGGCGTCAAACTAACCTGAACGAAAAGGAAATACCGCGCAAACATTTCAAAATAAGAAACTGGGCCATTGAGGAGCTTAAGAAAACCAACAAAAGAGGAGAGGTCTACAAGGTTGTTAGAAAATACACAAGCCATAGGCGTCAACGAAACATAAAGCACAACGTACAGACTGTCATAAAAACAAAACAGATATGGTGTCACATCTAATATGCACCTCTTACGCTTTTATTTTTATGTCTTTGTTTGCGTTTTCGGACTCATCGTGGCTATTTTTGAGGGAATTGTTGCAGTCTGGCTCTCTGGTCTGAGCAGTGTGCAGACTGAGAGGACCAGAACGAAGACTGGGGGAAAACACGGAGATGTGGATGTGTGTGGACAGGGAGCAGCCATGAAAATCGAACTTACAGCAACAGGTTTGTCCATTATGACGGGACCATTTTATGGCAGTAATTTGTTATGACTTTGATATGTGACCCTGGCATGGGCGGTCAGGAAACTGGGATAAAAAGAAGACTGACTCTAGCCTATTATTTCATTTTCCAATGTGAGCACACATGATATGCCAACCACTTGACCAGTGAAATTTCCACGTCACAAGCAGCCTATGAATAGCCAGGCTGATGGATCCCCTGCTCTATGATGACAGCTACTGTTATCCACCCAATCTTGATTAAAAAAAACTCAAAACAATTAATATTTCAAGAAGTACATAGAGAAAACTCAATCATAAATCAGTCTCAAATATGTTTTTCAGTAGTCTCGTGATCATGTGGTGTGCATTTCAATACATTCTTTCTTTTCTGGCGTAAAACAGAATTGTCAGGTTTGCCCGGCTGCACCTTCCTCTCTTCTCTCTTTCTCGCTCTAGTCTGCTCTTTCTCACTGATTCTCTTGATTGAACACACCTGTCCTGATTTTCTGACACTCTTCAGCTGCGCCTCCTTTGTCACTCCCTATTTATACCCGGCTTTACCTTCACTCCCTTGCTGGTTCTTTCTATGTCGTTAGCCTTCTTTGCATTACGTATTATACTATTTTTTTCTCCTGTTTTCACATATGTTAGTTCTAGCGTCTCCTGTTGTTTTACCTGGACCTCTCCTCTGGACCTTGGCTTCCTCAGCTCCACCAACCTCTTCCACAGGTCGATGCACAGTCTCATCATTCAATCCACTCTCTGTTACTCCTCAGTCTACCGGATCTCTACCTTGACCAGCCCAGGAGTGTCGCCTTCCCTTGCAGCCCAACCTCATCACTCCACGGACAATAACCCCTTCACTAATGCTGGTCATCACCCGGTGATATTCATTCATTAATTCTATTTTGTTGTATATAAGTCTTGCACCCCTGTTGTAGCACTGTAAATAAACCCACCTATTGCACCGAAGCCAGCCGCCTGGGTCTGTTCATTTCTGCTCGCTCACAATTGTGTCGAGCGATCCTAACAAGAATACATAGATACAAAAATGGAAATCCACAGTCCCTGACATCTGCCCAGTTTTAAATATAATACTAGGCCCTGATAATTAAAAAGTAATGAAGTACAAAACACAATGTCATACAACACATTACATTATGAACCAACAGAATAATGTGAGCACATTTCACTTTACACGCACTTACATAACTTTCAAAATCTTCTCAGAGCAGTTCACCTACAGCAGGAGCTTGTACTGTAGCTCAACATGTCCAGTTAACTTTGTTGTTTTTTTTTTTTTGCTGAATAGGACTTTCCAGGATGCTAAGCCTCGCTGTTGTCTCATTCATTCACAGTGATTAGCTTATAGCCTCCAGGCTCAGTCTGTATATAGACATGTCTGCAGTAAACCTGCTGCTGCAGCAAATTTAAGGCAGCACAGATAGACTGCAACCTATCACAGGCCTCACTCTGAGCTGCAAAGAAGACAGGTGTGCCGGAAATTGTTCTGTAAATGCATGCAGGAAACATTAAACCACACAGGTTGATCATTTAAAACCAGTGTGGGAAGACTTAGTTGACTGCAATTAACCATTAACAGTTCGAAAAATCTTCATGCCTTTACTTTTTTTAAAATAAATTTAACATTTCCAGCCTCTGTCTCTTTATGTGAGGCATTTGGATTTTTGCTTTAAATTGTATGCATTAGACATTTGAGCTTTAATGAGACTGTTTATGGGACATTTTCCTCAATGTTCCTTATGACTCTCTGAAACTTCACCAAGTGACAAGTTAATCTCAAAGGTAAGTCCAGTGAGATCAGTAGTGGCACATGTATTTTACTTGACCATTTTTACTTCATGCATGCTTTATACTGCTACAGCTACAAGTGGGCAAAATACCCACTAAAACACATTGTAAAGTTCAGCTGAAACTACTATGAAACTTCAAGCGTCTGAATAAAACATACCTTCCAAAGTTACTATCTTTTTCATATCAAATTCCTTTTTTGTGTTTCCAGTCACTTTCCTTGATGAACTACAGTAGAGAGATAACACAAAGTTGGAATTCTATCCCTAAAAGTCAATGTGTTTTGAAGACTTAGCTTTGCTTCACTGAACTCTCTTACACTGGATTTACATCAAGAAATGATCAGTTCACAGCTAGTATAGATGGAAGGAAAAATTTCAGACACCAATAACTTTTTATGTGCATGTGAGTGTGTAAGTATTGTTGAACAGCAAGACAAACTTGAACAAATCTGAACCTATCCATTAATAAAAATGATAATACCAACTCCATCCACAGGATGGCACTGTTGCATCAGGTTGATGCTCCCAGGGACGTAAAACGGCTGCAGTCCACACTGAGAGAACCATGATCCAAAAGCACAAATAAGTAAATAGTTAAAATCCAGAAACAATCATTCACCACAGCGCTGGTGACTGCCAACCTAAGAAATAAAATGAGGCCAGAGTATTGAGAGACGTCCTTGACTGATTGTATGTACTGTATCTGCTCTGAATATACAGCACAAACAATTTTGAAGGTTTTATTCTGCTGATGTTTTTTATGGATTATTGATCAGTTATTTTGTAGTGAAGAGACTAAAGCAGAACTTAAAGCACTGGAAATATTACACAATAGTTATGATTTATTTGTCCAAATCTAAAACATCCACAACATAACAAAAACAATAAATTAGAAAGTTTAAAATAGAATGTAGTAAAAATGTAGTAAAAATCTATTTTACATACATTTTACATAGTGCACATCCAAATAATTTATAAGTCTTTATCTTTTGTTTTTAAAATGTTTGTGGTTCCCTGTACTGTTAATATTTAGCAGTAACTTGTTCCAATCTTTTACTCTACATGACCTGAAGAAACAAGCATCCATATTAGTTGTGAGCCTTGGCAAACACAAACTGGCAGCACTAGCTCTGGTGAGTATGAGCTCCTTCAACCCTAGGAAACTGTCATACTCGGGGGACCTACTGTTATAAATAATATGGAGCGCCCTGAGTTGTAACTGAGAGATTTTATACTATTTAGGCAACCATTCTAGCTGTTTAAATGTCTGTTTTCCAACGTGTGTTTTTGGACCCAAAACACACATTGGAAAGAAAGAGAGGAAGTGTGTGAGAGACAGAGAGACTAAAATAATCCTTTGGGGTTGTTAATAAATCCACATAATAAACGTTGACCTCCTGGCCGATTTCTTATCAGCACAGCAGTTCATGACTGGGATTTTATCTGGTGCTGGGAAATAAGAAAGTTGATGACTCGGCTAATGCTATTGTTTCATCTTTCCTTGATATGTTTTTCCTAAAAGGCTCATACTTGTTTAAACATGACACACAATCAGTTGAATGAAAAAACAAACATGAATTGCAACTGTACTGAGTATTTTTTGTACATTTTTTGGTTCTTGGATCCAAATAAATCCAACTTTTGACAAACACATAAAAGTAAATAAAAACAATTAATTAAAATAAATTATAACAAATCTTATCATTTGAGGAAAATGTTTTACTGTGTGTACAGTAAGGTAATTTATACTTTAGCCATCTGGCTTTCTTGTTCATAGCAGGCTTTTCATTTTATGCTTGTTGACATGCTATTAGTTAACATAGAGAAATCATATCAAAAGAACATATCCACTCACAACTATTAACTGTAAAGATTGTGTGTCTATTTTCAATGCATAATGTGTTCAGGTCCACCACAGACTAATCCCAGGGATGTTCACTGATCATCTGAAATGTCGTCTCTGTAAATGAAAACTCAGACACACCCTCAGTTATGGCTCTGCTGTCCAAAGGCCAAGGCAGCACAGAAGGTTATAGAACAGCAGTGTCCCTCCTTCTCACAGTCAGTCTGCGTGTGTTGCTGGAGCTGAAGCAGCTGAGATGTCTGCTTGGACTCTTGTGGTGTTGCTGGCTCTGTCCTGCGCTGTATCTGCTCAGTCAGACGTAGAGACCAAAGCGAGGGAGTTTCTGCTGAAGTTTGACAAGGAGGCCACTGACCGGTTTTACCAGAACTCACTGGCATCATGGGCCTACAACACAAACATAACAAAGGAGACCTCAGAGAACCTGGTAAGCATTTGGAAAACATCCTAATGTAGTCTAAAAATACTGCCCATGAAGTTTAGTCAAATGAAAACATGGTGTAAGTTAATGAATGACATAATTTGAAGTGTGTTTCTTCATTTTGTTTAGTCAAAAGAGGGGGAACTCTGGAGCAAGTTTTACAAGCAGATGTCAGAAGAGTCACAGAAATTCCCCATCGCCGAGATCAGGGATGCAGAAATCAAATTACAGCTCATCTCCCTACAGGACAAAGGCTCTGGCGCTTTATCGCCAGATAAAGCTGCACATGTAAGACAACAGCTGCATGTTTAATTTCATTTTGTTCTAGATGTGCGTGGACAATTAAAATAAATAAAATATGTTCTATCTTTTTTCAACATTTCTGATCTACCTACTGCAGTCATTTTAAGCACATTTTCTCACCCATGTTCATTAGCAGTTGACATGAACCTAAACATGATGTCCTTGTTTTTTCTCTTAA